TCTCTTAACATTGACAATTTGGAAACCCTTTCTCTAATAGTCTCTCCTGAACGAAAGTAAAGTTTCCGATTGTCAATTTGGATATCTACATATTTAGTCGATTTTTTTTTAAAGTAATTTGGAAAATATGACTTGATTTAGATTGTTTGAGATTCAGTTGAATTTTAATCATTTTTGTTCAAAATGTATACATCAGATTGTTTTGGTTAGCCACCAACTTCTGATAATTTGACATGCACATTAATTTGGGAAATAATGATTATATCATTAAACCGTCTTCATTACTGATTGAAATATAGATTTAAAATGAAAATAAGTTAATGACATACAGTCAAAAAGAGCAATTGACCAATGATGATGGCTGCCACTAATGCCAGTTTTTCTTTATAGATATTTTGAAAGAAAAAAAAATTAAAGTAGCAAATTTTTTAAGTTTTATATTTGGTTCAATATTTTTGAACTTATTTTGTTTTTGTTTCAGATACCAGCCCCACGATATTTACGTCAGGACAGGTAACATATGCATCCGAAAGTAAGTATATTTTTTTTTTATTTATTAATAGTTTTCTGATAGATATTAAAATAATTTGAATATGTATTACAGATAGACGGCAGCCCAGAGAGAAGAAAAAAGAAGTCCTAGACATGGAGATGATATAATTTTTGATGCCTAGATGATGATGTACGTATTTTGTCGTTACAATTGTACTTAAACTGTTAATAGTTGTAAGGTAATAAAATCAGTTTTCCCTGGAGAAACAGCTTGAAAATTTATTACAAATTAGTCCAAAATTTCTTTTTCAAATTTATACTCTAATGAAAAAAGTATACTTGTACTCCAATTTAGGATTTGAATTGAAACATGCATCACATTAATTTCTGAATTAATTATAACAGCAAATAGTCTCTTAACATTGACAATTTGGAAACCCTTTCTCTAATAGTCTCTCCTGAACGAAAGTAAAGTTTCCGATTGTCAATTTGGATATCTACATATTTAGTCGATTTTTTTTAAAAGTAATTTGGAAAATATGACTTGATTTAGATTGTTTGAGATTCAGTTGAATTTTAATCATTTTTGTTCAAAATGTATACATCAGATTGTTTTGGTTAGCCACCAACTTCTGATAATTTGACATGCACATTAATTTGGGAAATAATGATTATATCATTAAACCGTCTTCATTACTGATTGAAATATAGATTTAAAATGAAAATAAGTTAATGATATACAGTCAAAAAGAGCAATTGACCAATGATGATGGCTGCCATTAATGCCAGTTTTTCTTTATAGATATTTTGAAAGAAAAAAAAATTAAAGTAGCAAATTTTTTAAGTTTTATATTTGGTTCAATATTTTTGAACTTATTTTGTTTTTGTTTCAGATACCAGCCCCAGGATATTTACGTCAGGACAGGTAACATATGCATCCGAAAGTAAGTATATTTTTTTTTTATTTATTAATAGTTTTCTGATAGATATTAAAATAATTTGAATATGTATTACAGATAGACGGCAGCCCAGAGAGAAGAAAAAAGAAGTCCTAGACATGGAGATGATATAATTGTTGATGCCTAGATGATGATGTACGTATTTTGTCGTTACAATTGTACTTAAACTGTTAATAGTTGTAAGGTAATAAAATCAGTTTTCCCTGGAGAAACAGCTTGAAAATTTATTACAAATTAGTCCAAAATTTCTTTTTCAAATTTATACTCTAATGAAAAAAGTATACTTGTACTCCAATTTAGGAATTGAAACATGCATCACATTAATTTCTGAATTAATTATAACAGCAAATAGTCTCTTAACATTGACAATTTGGAAACCCTTTCTCTAATAGTCTCTCCTGAACGAAAGTAAAGTTTCCGATTGTCAATTTGGATATCTACATATTTAGTCGATTTTTTTTAAAAGTAATTTGGAAAATATGACTTGATTTAGATTGTTTGAGATTCAGTTGAATTTTAATCATTTTTGTTCAAAATGTATACATCAGATTGTTTTGGTTAGCCACCAACTTCTGATAATTTGACACGCACATTAATTTGGGAAATAATGATTATATCATTAAACCGTCTTCATTACTGATTGAAATATAGATTTAAAATGAAAATAAGTTAATGATATACAGTCAAAAAGAGCAATTGACCAATGATGATGGCTGCCATTAATGCCAGTTTTTCTTTATAGATATTTTGAAAGAAAAAAAAATTAAAGTAGCAAATTTTTTAAGTTTTATATTTGGTTCAATATTTTTGAACTTATTTTGTTTTTGTTTCAGATACCAGCCCCAGGATATTTACGTCAGGACAGGTAACATATGCATCCGAAAGTAAGTATATTTTTTTTTTATTTATTAATAGTTTTCTGATAGATATTAAAATAATTTGAATATGTATTACAGATAGACGGCAGCCCAGAGAAAAGAAAAAAGAAGTCCTAGACATGGAGATGATATAATTGTTGATGCCTAGATGATGATGTACGTATTTTGTCGTTACAATTGTACTTAAACTGTTAATAGTTGTAAGGTAATAAAATCAGTTTTCCCTGGAGAAACAGCTTGAAAATTTATTACAAATTAGTCCAAAATTTCTTTTTCAAATTTATACTCTAATGAAAAAAGTATACTTGTACTCCAATTTAGGATTTGAATTGAAACATGCATCACATTAATTTCTGAATTAATTATAACAGCAAATAGTCTCTTAACATTGACAATTTGGAAACCCTTTCTCTAATAGTCTCTCCTGAACGAAAGTAAAGTTTCCGATTGTCAATTTGGATATCTACATATTTAGTCGATTTTTTTTAAAAGTAATTTGGAAAATATGACTTGATTTAGATTGTTTGAGATTCAGTTGAATTTTAATCATTTTTGTTCAAAATGTATACATCAGATTGTTTTGGTTAGCCACCAACTTCTGATAATTTGACATGCACATTAATTTGGGAAATAATGATTATATCATTAAACCGTCTTCATTACTGATTGAAATATAGATTTAAAATGAAAATAAGTTAATGATATACAGTCAAAAAGAGCAATTGACCAATGATGATGGCTGCCATTAATGCCAGTTTTTCTTTATAGATATTTTGAAAGAAAAAAAAATTAAAGTAGCAAATTTTTTAAGTTTTATATTTGGTTCAATATTTTTGAACTTATTTTGTTTTTGTTTCAGATACCAGCCCCAGGATATTTACGTCAGGACAGGTAACATATGCATCCGAAAGTAAGTATATTTTTTTTTTATTTATTAATAGTTGTCTGATAGATATTAAAATAATTTGAATATGTATTACAGATAGACGGCAGCCCAGAGAGAAGAAAAAAGAAGTCCTAGACATGGAGATGATATAATTGTTGATGCCTAGATGATGATGTACGTATTTTGTCGTTACAATTGTACTTAAACTGTTAATAGTTGTAAGGTAATAAAATCAGTTTTCCCTGGAGAAACAGCTTGAAAATTTATTACAAATTAGTCCAAAATTTCTTTTTCAAATTTATACTCTAATGAAAAAAGTATACTTGTACTCCAATTTAGGATTTGAATTGAAACATGCATCACATTAATTTCTGAATTAATTATAACAGCAAATAGTCTCTTAACATTGACAATTTGGAAACCCTTTCTCTAATAGTCTCTCATGAACGAAAGTAAAGTTTCCGATTGTCAATTTGGATATCTACATATTTAGTCGATTTTTTTTAAAAGTAATTTGGAAAATATGACTTGATTTAGATTGTTTGAGATTCAGTTGAATTTTAATCATTTTTGTTCAAAATGTATACATCAGATTGTTTTGGTTAGCCACCAACTTCTGATAATTTGACATGCACATTAATTTGGGAAATAATGATTATATCATTAAACCGTCTTCATTACTGATTGAAATATAGATTTAAAATGAAAATAAGTTAATGATATACAGTCAAAAAGAGCAATTGACCAATGATGATGGCTGCCATTAATGCCAGTTTTTCTTTAGATATTTTGAAAGAAAAAAAAATTAAAGTAGCAAATTTTTTAAGTTTTATATTTGGTTCAATATTTTTGAACTTATTTTGTTTTTGTTTCAGATACCAGCCCCAGGATATTTACGTCAGGACAGGTAACATATGCATCCGAAAGTAAGTATATTTTTTTTTTATTTATTAATAGTTGTCTGATAGATATTAAAATAATTTGAATATGTATTACAGATAGACGGCAGCCCAGAGAGAAGAAAAAAGAAGTCCTAGACATGGAGATGATATAATTGTTGATGCCTAGATGATGATGTACGTATTTTGTCGTTACAATTGTACTTAAACTGTTAATAGTTGTAAGGTAATAAAATCAGTTTTCCCTGGAGAAACAGCTTGAAAATTTATTACAAATTAGTCCAAAATTTCTTTTTCAAATTTATACTCTAATGAAAAAAGTATACTTGTACTCCAATTTAGGATTTGAATTGAAACATGCATCACATTAATTTCTGAATTAATTATAACAGCAAATAGTCTCTTAACATTGACAATTTGGAAACCCTTTCTCTAATAGTCTCTCCTGAACGAAAGTAAAGTTTCCGATTGTCAATTTGGATATCTACATATTTAGTCGATTTTTTTTAAAAGTAATTTGGAAAATATGACTTGATTTAGATTGTTTGAGATTCAGTTGAATTTTAATCATTTTTGTTCAAAATGTATACATCAGATTGTTTTGGTTAGCCACCAACTTCTGATAATTTGACACGCACATTAATTTGGGAAATAATGATTATATCATTAAACCGTCTTCATTACTGATTGAAATATAGATTTAAAATGAAAATAAGTTAATGATATACAGTCAAAAAGAGCAATTGACCAATGATGATGGCTGCCATTAATGCCAGTTTTTCTTTATAGATATTTTGAAAGAAAAAAAAATTAAAGTAGCAAATTTTTTAAGTTTTATATTTGGTTCAATATTTTTGAACTTATTTTGTTTTTGTTTCAGATACCAGCCCCAGGATATTTACGTCAGGACAGGTAACATATGCATCCGAAAGTAAGTATATTTTTTTTTTATTTATTAATAGTTTTCTGATAGATATTAAAATAATTTGAATATGTATTACAGATAGACGGCAGCCCAGAGAGAAGAAAAAAGAAGTCCTAGACATGGAGATGATATAATTTTTGATGCCTAGATGATGATGTACGTATTTTGTCGTTACAATTGTACTTAAACTGTTAATAGTTGTAAGGTAATAAAATCAGTTTTCCCTGGAGAAACAGCTTGAAAATTTATTACAAATTAGTCCAAAATTTCTTTTTCAAATTTATACTCTAATGAAAAAAGTATACTTGTACTCCAATTTAGGATTTGAATTGAAACATGCATCACATTAATTATTGAAATTAATTAAAACAGCAAATAGTCTCTTAACATTGACAATTTGGAAACCCTTTCTCTAATAGTCTCTCCTGAACGAAAGTAAAGTTTCCGATTGTCAATTTGGATATCTACATATTTAGTCGATTTTTTTTAAAAGTAATTTGGAAAATATGACTTGATTTAGATTGTTTGAGATTCAGTTGAATTTTAATCATTTTTGTTCAAAATGTATACATCAGATTGTTTTGGTTAGCCACCAACTTCTGATAATTTGACAAGCACATTAATTTGGGAAATAATGATTATATCATTAAACCGTCTTCATTACTGATTGAAATATAGATTTAAAATGAAAATAAGTTAATGATATACAGTCAAAAAGAGCAATTGACCAATGATGATGGCTGCCATTAATGCCAGTTTTTCTTTAGATATTTTGAAAGAAAAAAAAATTAAAGTAGCAAATTTTTTAAGTTTTATATTTGGTTCAATATTTTTGAACTTATTTTGTTTTTGTTTCAGATACCAGCCCCAGGATATTTACGTCAGGACAGGTAACATATGCATCCGAAAGTAAGTATATTTTTTTTTTATTTATTAATAGTTGTCTGATAGATATTAAAATAATTTGAATATGTATTACAGATAGACGGCAGCCCAGAGAGAAGAAAAAAGAAGTCCTAGACATGGAGATGATATAATTGTTGATGCCTAGATGATGATGTACGTATTTTGTCGTTACAATTGTACTTAAACTGTTAATAGTTGTAAGGTAATAAAATCAGTTTTCCCTGGAGAAACAGCTTGAAAATTTATTACAAATTAGTCCAAAATTTCTTTTTCAAATTTATACTCTAATGAAAAAAGTATACTTGTACTCCAATTTAGGATTTGAATTGAAACATGCATCACATTAATTTCTGAATTAATTATAACAGCAAATAGTCTCTTAACATTGACAATTTGGAAACCCTTTCTCTAATAGTCTCTCCTGAACGAAAGTAAAGTTTCCGATTGTCAATTTGGATATCTACATATTTAGTCGATTTTTTTTAAAAGTAATTTGGAAAATATGACTTGATTTAGATTGTTTGAGATTCAGTTGAATTTTAATCATTTTTGTTCAAAATGTATACATCAGATTGTTTTGGTTAGCCACCAACTTCTGATAATTTGACACGCACATTAATTTGGGAAATAATGATTATATCATTAAACCGTCTTCATTACTGATTGAAATATAGATTTAAAATGAAAATAAGTTAATGATATACAGTCAAAAAGAGCAATTGACCAATGATGATGGCTGCCATTAATGCCAGTTTTTCTTTATAGATATTTTGAAAGAAAAAAAAATTAAAGTAGCAAATTTTTTAAGTTTTATATTTGGTTCAATATTTTTGAACTTATTTTGTTTTTGTTTCAGATACCAGCCCCAGGATATTTACGTCAGGACAGGTAACATATGCATCCGAAAGTAAGTATATTTTTTTTTTATTTATTAATAGTTGTCTGATAGATATTAAAATAATTTGAATATGTATTACAGATAGACGGCAGCCCAGAGAGAAGAAAAAAGAAGTCCTAGACATGGAGATGATATAATTGTTGATGCCTAGATGATGATGTACGTATTTTGTCGTTACAATTGTACTTAAACTGTTAATAGTTGTAAGGTAATAAAATCAGTTTTCCCTGGAGAAACAGCTTGAAAATTTATTACAAATTAGTCCAAAATTTCTTTTTCAAATTTATACTCTAATGAAAAAAGTATACTTGTACTCCAATTTAGGATTTGAATTGAAACATGCATCACATTAATTTCTGAATTAATTATAACAGCAAATAGTCTCTTAACATTGACAATTTGGAAACCCTTTCTCTAATAGTCTCTCCTAAACGAAAGTAAAGTTTCCAATTGTCAATTTGGATATCTACATATTTAGTCGATTTTTTTTAAAAGTAATTTGGAAAATATGACTTGATTTAGATTGTTTGAGATTCAGTTGAATTTTAATCATTTTTGTTCAAAATGTATACATCAGATTGTTTTGGTTAGCCACCAACTTCTGATAATTTGACACGCACATTAATTTGGGAAATAATGATTATATCATTAAACCGTCTTCATTACTGATTGAAATATAGATTTAAAATGAAAATAATTTAATGATATACAGTCAAAAAGAGCAATTGACCAATGATGATGGCTGCCATTAATGCCAGTTTTTCTTTATAGATATTTTGAAAGAAAAAAAAATTAAAGTAGCAAATTTTTTAAGTTTTATATTTGGTTCAATATTTTTGAACTTATTTTGTTTTTGTTTCAGATACCAGCCCCAGGATATTTACGTCAGGACAGGTAACATATGCATCCGAAAGTAAGTATATTTTTTTTTTATTTATTAATAGTTGTCTGATAGATATTAAAATAATTTGAATATGTATTACAGATAGACGGCAGCCCAGAGAGAAGAAAAAAGAAGTCCTAGACATGGAGATGATATAATTGTTGATGCCTAGATGATGATGTACGTATTTTGTCGTTACAATTGTACTTAAACTGTTAATAGTTGTAAGGTAATAAAATCAGTTTTCCCTGGAGAAACAGCTTGAAAATTTATTACAAATTAGTCCAAAATTTCTTTTTCAAATTTATACTCTAATGAAAAAAGTATACTTGTACTCCAATTTAGGATTTGAATTGAAACATGCATCACATTAATTTCTGAATTAATTATAACAGCAAATAGTCTCTTAACATTGACAATTTGGAAATCCTTTCTCTAATAGTCTCTCCTAAACGAAAGTAAAGTTTCCAATTGTCAATTTGGATATCTACATATTTAGTCGATTTTTTTTAAAAGTAATTTGGAAAATATGACTTGATTTAGATTGTTTGAGATTCAGTTGAATTTTAATCATTTTTGTTCAAAATGTATACATCAGATTGTTTTGGTTAGCCACCAACTTCTGATAATTTGACACGCACATTAATTTGGGAAATAATGATTATATCATTAAACCGTCTTCATTACTGATTGAAATATAGATTTAAAATGAAAATAAGTTAATGATATACAGTCAAAAAGAGCAATTGACCAATGATGATGGCTGCCATTAATGCCAGTTTTTCTTTATAGATATTTTGAAAGAAAAAAAAATTAAAGTAGCAAATTTTTTAAGTTTTATATTTGGTTCAATATTTTTGAACTTATTTTGTTTTTGTTTCAGATACCAGCCCCAGGATATTTACGTCAGGACAGGTAACATATGCATCCGAAAGTAAGTATATTTTTTTTTTATTTATTAATAGTTGTCTGATAGATATTAAAATAATTTGAATATGTATTACAGATAGACGGCTGCCCAGAGAGAAGAAAAAAGAAGTCCTAGACATGGAGATGATATAATTGTTGATGCCTAGATGATGATGTACGTATTTTGTCGTTACAATTGTACTTAAACTGTTAATAGTTGTAAGGTAATAAAATCAGTTTTCCCTGGAGAAACAGCTTGAAAATTTATTACAAATTAGTCCAAAATTTCTTTTTCAAATTTATACTCTAATGAAAAAAGTATACTTGTACTCCAATTTAGGATTTGAATTGAAACATGCATCACATTAATTTCTGAATTAATTATAACAGCAAATAGTCTCTTAACATTGACAATTTGGAAACCCTTTCTCTAATAGTCTCTCCTGAACGAAAGTAAAGTTTCCGATTGTCAATTTGGATATCTACATATTTAGTCGATTTTTTTTAAAAGTAATTTGGAAAATATGACTTGATTTAGATTGTTTGAGATTCAGTTGAATTTTAATCATTTTTGTTCAAAATGTATACATCAGATTGTTTTGGTTAGCCACCAACTTCTGATAATTTGACACGCACATTAATTTGGGAAATAATGATTATATCATTAAACCGTCTTCATTACTGATTGAAATATAGATTTAAAATGAAAATAAGTTAATGATATACAGTCAAAAAGAGCAATTGACCAATGATGATGGCTGCCATTAATGCCAGTTTTTCTTTATAGATATTTTGAAAGAAAAAAAAATTAAAGTAGCAAATTTTTTAAGTTTTATATTTGGTTCAATATTTTTGAACTTATTTTGTTTTTGTTTCAGATACCAGCCCCAGGATATTTACGTCAGGACAGGTAACATATGCATCCGAAAGTAAGTATATTTTTTTTTTATTTATTAATAGTTGTCTGATAGATATTAAAATAATTTGAATATGTATTACAGATAGACGGCAGCCCAGAGAGAAGAAAAAAGAAGTCCTAGACATGGAGATGATATAATTGTTGATGCCTAGATGATGATGTACGTATTTTGTCGTTACAATTGTACTTAAACTGTTAATAGTTGTAAGGTAATAAAATCAGTTTTCCCTGGAGAAACAGCTTGAAAATTTATTACAAATTAGTCCAAAATTTCTTTTTCAAATTTATACTCTAATGAAAAAAGTATACTTGTACTCCAATTTAGGATTTGAATTGAAACATGCATCACATTAATTTCTGAATTAATTATAACAGCAAATAGTCTCTTAACATTGACAATTTGGAAACCCTTTCTCTAATAGTCTCTCCTAAACGAAAGTAAAGTTTCCAATTGTCAATTTGGATATCTACATATTTAGTCGATTTTTTTTAAAAGTAATTTGGAAAATATGACTTGATTTAGATTGTTTGAGATTCAGTTGAATTTTAATCATTTTTGTTCAAAATGTATACATCAGATTGTTTTGGTTAGCCACCAACTTCTGATAATTTGACACGCACATTAATTTGGGAAATAATGATTATATCATTAAACCGTCTTCATTACTGATTGAAATATAGATTTAAAATGAAAATAATTTAATGATATACAGTCAAAAAGAGCAATTGACCAATGATGATGGCTGCCATTAATGCCAGTTTTTCTTTATAGATATTTTGAAAGAAAAAAAAATTAAAGTAGCAAATTTTTTAAGTTTTATATTTGGTTCAATATTTTTGAACTTATTTTGTTTTTGTTTCAGATACCAGCCCCAGGATATTTACGTCAGGACAGGTAACATATGCATCCGAAAGTAAGTATATTTTTTTTTTATTTATTAATAGTTGTCTGATAGATATTAAAATAATTTGAATATGTATTACAGATAGACGGCAGCCCAGAGAGAAGAAAAAAGAAGTCCTAGACATGGAGATGATATAATTGTTGATGCCTAGATGATGATGTACGTATTTTGTCGTTACAATTGTACTTAAACTGTTAATAGTTGTAAGGTAATAAAATCAGTTTTCCCTGGAGAAACAGCTTGAAAATTTATTACAAATTAGTCCAAAATTTCTTTTTCAAATTTATACTCTAATGAAAAAAGTATACTTGTACTCCAATTTAGGATTTGAATTGAAACATGCATCACATTAATTTCTGAATTAATTATAACAGCAAATAGTCTCTTAACATTGACAATTTGGAAATCCTTTCTCTAATAGTCTCTCCTAAACGAAAGTAAAGTTTCCAATTGTCAATTTGGATATCTACATATTTAGTCGATTTTTTTTAAAAGTAATTTGGAAAATATGACTTGATTTAGATTGTTTGAGATTCAGTTGAATTTTAATCATTTTTGTTCAAAATGTATACATCAGATTGTTTTGGTTAGCCACCAACTTCTGATAATTTGACACGCACATTAATTTGGGAAATAATGATTATATCATTAAACCGTCTTCATTACTGATTGAAATATAGATTTAAAATGAAAATAAGTTAATGATATACAGTCAAAAAGAGCAATTGACCAATGATGATGGCTGCCATTAATGCCAGTTTTTCTTTATAGATATTTTGAAAGAAAAAAAAATTAAAGTAGCAAATTTTTTAAGTTTTATATTTGGTTCAATATTTTTGAACTTATTTTGTTTTTGTTTCAGATACCAGCCCCAGGATATTTACGTCAGGACAGGTAACATATGCATCCGAAAGTAAGTATATTTTTTTTTTATTTATTAATAGTTGTCTGATAGATATTAAAATAATTTGAATATGTATTACAGATAGACGGCAGCCCAGAGAGAAGAAAAAAGAAGTCCTAGACATGGAGATGATATAATTGTTGATGCCTAGATGATGATGTACGTATTTTGTCGTTACAATTGTACTTAAACTGTTAATAGTTGTAAGGTAATAAAATCAGTTTTCCCTGGAGAAACAGCTTGAAAATTTATTACAAATTAGTCCAAAATTTCTTTTTCAAATTTATACTCTAATGAAAAAAGTATACTTGTACTCCAATTTAGGATTTGAATTGAAACATGCATCACATTAATTTCTGAATTAATTATAACAGCAAATAGTCTCTTAACATTGACAATTTGGAAACCCTTTCTCTAATAGTCTCTCCTGAACGAAAGTAAAGTTTCCGATTGTCAATTTGGATATCTACATATTTAGTCGATTTTTTTTAAAAGTAATTTGGAAAATATGACTTGATTTAGATTGTTTGAGATTCAGTTGAATTTTAATCATTTTTGTTCAAAATGTATACATCAGATTGTTTTGGTTAGCCACCAACTTCTGATAATTTGACATGCACATTAATTTGGGAAATAATGATTATATCATTAAACCGTCTTCATTACTGATTGAAATATAGATTTAAAATGAAAATAAGTTAATGATATACAGTCAAAAAGAGCAATTGACCAATGATGATGGCTGCCATTAATGCCAGTTTTTCTTTATAGATATTTTGAAAGAAAAAAAAATTAAAGTAGCAAATTTTTTAAGTTTTATATTTGGTTCAATATTTTTGAACTTATTTTGTTTTTGTTTCAGATACCAGCCCCAGGATATTTACGTCAGGACAGGTAACATATGCATCCGAAAGTAAGTATATTTTTTTTTTATTTATTAATAGTTTTCTGATAGATATTAAAATAATTTGAATATGTATTACAGATAGACGGCTGCCCAGAGAGAAGAAAAAAGAAGTCCTAGACATGGAGATGATATAATTGTTGATGCCTAGATGATGATGTACGTATTTTGTCGTTACAATTGTACTTAAACTGTTAATAGTTGTAAGGTAATAAAATCAGTTTTCCCTGGAGAAACAGCTTGAAAATTTATTACAAATTAGTCCAAAATTTCTTTTTCAAATTTATACTCTAATGAAAAAAGTATACTTGTACTCCAATTTAGGATTTGAATTGAAACATGCATCACATTAATTTCTGAATTAATTATAACAGCAAATAGTCTCTTAACATTGACAATTTGGAAACCCTTTCTCTAATAGTCTCTCCTGAACGAAAGTAAAGTTTCCGATTGTCAATTTGGATATCTACATATTTAGTCGATTTTTTTTAAAAGTAATTTGGAAAATATGACTTGATTTAGATTGTTTGAGATTCAGTTGAATTTTAATCATTTTTGTTCAAAATGTATACATCAGATTGTTTTGGTTAGCCACCAACTTCTGATAATTTGACACGCACATTAATTTGGGAAATAATGATTATATCATTAAACCGTCTTCATTACTGATTGAAATATAGATTTAAAATGAAAATAAGTTAATGATATACAGTCAAAAAGAGCAATTGACCAATGATGATGGCTGCCATTAATGCCAGTTTTTCTTTATAGATATTTTGAAAGAAAAAAAAATTAAAGTAGCAAATTTTTTAAGTTTTATATTTGGTTCAATATTTTTGAACTTATTTTGTTTTTGTTTCAGATACCAGCCCCAGGATATTTACGTCAGGACAGGTAACATATGCATCCGAAAGTAAGTATATTTTTTTTTTATTTATTAATAGTTTTCTGATAGATATTAAAATAATTTGAATATGTATTACAGATAGACGGCAGCCCAGAGAGAAGAAAAAAGAAGTCCTAGACATGGAGATGATATAATTTTTGATGCCTAGATGATGATGTACGTATTTTGTCGTTACGATTGTACTTAAACTGTTAATAGTTGTAAGGTAATAAAATCAGTTTTCCCTGGAGAAACAGCTTGAAAATTTATTACAAATTAGTCCAAAATTTCTTTTTCAAATTTATACTCTAATGAAAAAAGTATACTTGTACTCCAATTTAGGATTTGAATTGAAACATGCATCACGTTAATTTCTGAATTAATTATAACAGCAAATAGTCTCTTAACATTGACAATTTGGAAACCCTTTCTCTAATAGTCTCTCCTGAACGAAAGTAAAGTTTCCAATTGTCAATTTGGATATCTACATATTTAGTCGATTTTTTTTAAAAGTAATTTGGAAAATATGACTTGATTTAGATTGTTTGAGATTCAGTTGAATTTTAATCATTTTTGTTCAAAATGTATACATCAGATTGTTTTGGTTAGCCACCAACTTCTGATAATTTGACACGCACATTAATTTGGGAAATAATGATTATATCATTAAACCGTCTTCATTACTGATTGAAATATAGATTTAAAATGAAAATAAGTTAATGATATACAGTCAAAAAGAGCAATTGACCAATGATGATGGCTGCCATTAATGCCAGTTTTTCTTTATAGATATTTTGAAAGAAAAAAAAATTAAAGTAGCAAATTTTTTAAGTTTTATATTTGGTTCAATATTTTTGAACTTATTTTGTTTTTGTTTCAGATACCAGCCCCAGGATATTTACGTCAGGACAGGTAACATATGCATCCGAAAGTAAGTATATTTTTTTTTTATTTATTAATAGTTTTCTGATAGATATTAAAATAATTTGAATATGTATTACAGATAGACGGCAGCCCAGAGAGAAGAAAAAAGAAGTCCTAGACATGGAGATGATATAATTGTTGATGCCTAGATGATGATGTACGTATTTTGTCGTTACAATTGTACTTAAACTGTTAATAGTTGTAAGGTAATAAAATCAGTTTTCCCTGGAGAAACAGCTTGAAAGTTTATTACAAATTAGTCCAAAATTTCTTTTTCAAATTTATACTCTAATGAAAAAAGTATACTTGTACTCCAATTTAGGATTTGAATTGAAACATGCATCACATTAATTTCTGAATTAATTATAACAGCAAATAGTCTCTTAACATTGACAATTTGGAAACCCTTTCTCTAATAGTCTCTCCTGAACGAAAGTAAAGTTTCCGATTGTCAATTTGGATATCTACATATTTAGTCGATTTTTTTTAAAAGTAATTTGGAAAATATGACTTGATTTAGATTGTTTGAGATTCAGTTGAATTTTAATCATTTTTGTTCAAAATGTATACATCAGATTGTTTTGGTTAGCCACCAACTTCTGATAATTTGACAAGCACATTAATTTGGGAAATAATGATTATAACATTAAACCGTCTTCATTACTGATTGAAATATAGATTTAAAATGAAAATAAGTTAATGATATACAGTCAAAAAGAGCAATTGACCAATGATGATGGCTGCCATTAATGCCAGTTTTTCTTTAGATATTTTGAAAGAAAAAAAAATTAAAGTAGCAAATTTTTTAAGTTTTATATTTGGTTCAATATTTTTGAACTTATTTTGTTTTTGTTTCAGATACCAGCCCCAGGATATTTACGTCAGGACAGGTAACATATGCATCCGAAAGTAAGTATATTTTTTTTTTATTTATTAATAGTTTTCTGATAGATATTAAAATAATTTGAATATGTATTACAGATAGACGGCTGCCCAGAGAGAAGAAAAAAGAAGTCCTAGACATGGAGATGATATAATTGTTGATGCCTAGATGATGATGTACGTATTTTGTCGTTACAATTGTACTTAAACTGTTAATAGTTGTAAGGTAATAAAATCAGTTTTCCCTGGAGAAACAGCTTGAAAATTTATTACAAATTAGTCCAAAATTTCTTTTTCAAATTTATACTCTAATGAAAAAAGTATACTTGTACTCCAATTTAGGATTTGAATTGAAACATGCATCACATTAATTTCTGAATTAATTATAACAGCAAATAGTCTCTTAACATTGACAATTTGGAAACCCTTTCTCTAATAGTCTCTCCTGAACGAAAGTAAAGTTTCCGATTGTCAATTTGGATATCTACATATTTAGTCGATTTTTTTTAAAAGTAATTTGGAAAATATGACTTGATTTAGATTGTTTGAGATTCAGTTGAATTTTAATCATTTTTGTTCAAAATGTATACATCAGATTGTTTTGGTTAGCCACCAACTTCTGATAATTTGACACGCACATTAATTTGGGAAATAATGATTATATCATTAAACCGTCTTCATTACTGATTGAAATATAGATTTAAAATGAAAATAAGTTAATGATATACAGTCAAAAAGAGCAATTGACCAATGATGATGGCTGCCATTAATGCCAGTTTTTCTTTATAGATATTTTGAAAGAAAAAAAAATTAAAGTAGCAAATTTTTTAAGTTTTATATTTGGTTCAATATTTTTGAACTTATTTTGTTTTTGTTTCAGATACCAGCCCCAGGATATTTACGTCAGGACAGGTAACATATGCATCCGAAAGTAAGTATATTTTTTTTTTATTTATTAATAGTTTTCTGATAGATATTAAAATAATTTGAATATGTATTACAGATAGACGGCAGCCCAGAGAGAAGAAAAAAGAAGTCCTAGACATGGAGATGATATAATTTTTGATGCCTAGATGATGATGTACGTATTTTGTCGTTACAATTGTACTTAAACTGTTAATAGTTGTAAGGTAATAAAATCAGTTTTCCCTGGAGAAACAGCTTGAAAATTTATTACAAATTAGTCCAAAATTTCTTTTTCAAATTTATACTCTAATGAAAAAAGTATACTTGTACTCCAATTTAGGATTTGAATTGAAACATGCATCACATTAATTTCTGAATTAATTATAACAGCAAATAGTCTCTTAACATTGACAATTTGGAAACCCTTTCTCTAATAGTCTCTCCTGAACGAAAGTAAAGTTTCCGATTGTCAATTTGGATATCTACATATTTAGTCGATTTTTTTTAAAAGTAATTTGGAAAATATGACTTGATTTAGATTGTTTGAGATTCAGTTGAATTTTAATCATTTTTGTTCAAAATGTATACATCAGATTGTTTTGGTTAGCCACCAACTTCTGATAATTTGACAAGCACATTAATTTGGGAAATAATGATTATATCATTAAACCGTCTTCATTACTGATTGAAATATAGATTTAAAATGAAAATAAGTTAATGATATACAGTCAAAAAGAGCAATTGACCAATGATGATGGCTGCCATTAATGCCAGTTTTTCTTTATAGATATTTTGAAAGAAAAAAAAATTAAAGTAGCAAATTTTTTAAGTTTTATATTTGGTTCAATATTTTTGAACTTATTTTGTTTTTGTTTCAGATACCAGCCCCAGGATATTTACGTCAGGACAGGTAACATATGCATCCGAAAGTAAGTATATTTTTTTTTTATTTATTAATAGTTTTCTGATAGATATTAAAATAATTTGAATATGTATTACAGATAGACGGCTGCCCAGAGAGAAGAAAAAAGAAGTCCTAGACATGGAGATGATATAATTGTTGATGCCTAGATGATGATGTACGTATTTTGTCGTTACAATTGTACTTAAACTGTTAATAGTTGTAAGGTAATAAAATCAGTTTTCCCTGGAGAAACAGCTTGAAAATTTATTACAAATTAGTCCAAAATTTCTTTTTCAAATTTATACTCTAATGAAAAAAGTATACTTGTACTCCAATTTAGGATTTGAATTGAAACATGCATCACATTAATTTCTGAATTAATTATAACAGCAAATAGTCTCTTAACATTGACAATTTGGAAACCCTTTCTCTAATAGTCTCTCCTGAACGAAAGTAAAGTTTCCGATTGTCAATTTGGATATCTACATATTTAGTCGATTTTTTTTAAAAGTAATTTGGAAAATATGACTTGATTTAGATTGTTTGAGATTCAGTTGAATTTTAATCATTTTTGTTCAAAATGTATACATCAGATTGTTTTGGTTAGCCACCAACTTCTGATAATTTGACACGCACATTAATTTGGGAAATAATGATTATATCATTAAACCGTCTTCATTACTGATTGAAATATAGATTTAAAATGAAAATAAGTTAATGATATACAGTCAAAAAGAGCAATTGACCAATGATGATGGCTGCCATTAATGCCAGTTTTTCTTTATAGATATTTTGAAAGAAAAAAAAATTAAAGTAGCAAATTTTTTAAGTTTTATATTTGGTTCAATATTTTTGAACTTATTTTGTTTTTGTTTCAGATACCAGCCCCAGGATATTTACGTCAGGACAGGTAACATATGCATCCGAAAGTAAGTATATTTTTTTTTTATTTATTAATAGTTTTCTGATAGATATTAAAATAATTTGAATATGTATTACAGATAGACGGCAGCCCAGAGAGAAGAAAAAAGAAGTCCTAGACATGGAGATGATATAATTTTTGATGCCTAGATGATGATGTACGTATTTTGTCGTTACAATTGTACTTAAACTGTTAATAGTTGTAAGGTAATAAAATCAGTTTTCCCTGGAGAAACAGCTTGAAAATTTATTACAAATTAGTCCAAAATTTCTTTTTCAAATTTATACTCTAATGAAAAAAGTATACTTGTACTCCAATTTAGGATTTGAATTGAAACATGCATCACATTAATTTCTGAATTAATTATAACAGCAAATAGTCTCTTAACATTGACAATTTGGAAACCCTTTCTCTGATAGTCTCTCCTGAACGAAAGTAAAGTTTCCGATTGTCAATTTGGATATCTACATATTTAGTCGATTTTTTTTAAAAGTAATTTGGAAAATATGACTTGATTTAGATTGTTTGAGATTCAGTTGAATTTTAATCATTTTTGTTCAAAATGTATACATCAGATTGTTTTGGTTAGCCACCAACTTCTGATAATTTGACAAGCACATTAATTTGGGAAATAATGATTATATCATTAAACCGTCTTCATTACTGATTGAAATATAGATTTAAAATGAAAATAAGTTAATGATATACAGTCAAAAAGAGCAATTGACCAATGATGATGGCTGCCATTAATGCCAGTTTTTCTTTAGATATTTTGAAAGAAAAAAAAATTAAAGTAGCAAATTTTTTAAGTTTTATATTTGGTTCAATATTTTTGAACTTATTTTGTTTTTGTTTCAGATACCAGCCCCAGGATATTTACGTCAGGACAGGTAACATATGCATCCGAAAGTAAGTATATTTTTTTTTTATTTATTAATAGTTGTCTGATAGATATTAAAATAATTTGAATATGTATTACAGATAGACGGCAGCCCAGAGAGAAGAAAAAAGAAGTCCTAGACATGGAGATGATTTAATTGTTGATGCCTAGATGATGATGTACGTATTTTGTCGTTACAATTGTACTTAAACTGTTAATAGTTGTAAGGTAATAAAATCAGTTTTCCCTGGAGAAACAGCTTGAAAATTTATTACAAATTAGTCCAAAATTTCTTTTTCAAATTTATACTCTAATGAAAAAAGTATACTTGTACTCCAATTTAGGATTTGAATTGAAACATGCATCACATTAATTTCTGAATTAATTATAACAGCAAATAGTCTCTTAACATTGACAATTTGGAAACCCTTTCTCTAATAGTCTCTCCTGAACGAAAGTAAAGTTTCCGATTGTCAATTTGGATATCTACATATTTAGTCGATTTTTTTTAAAAGTAATTTGGAAAATATGACTTGATTTAGATTGTTTGAGATTCAGTTGAATTTTAATCATTTTTGTTCAAAATGTATACATCAGATTGTTTTGGTTAGCCACCAACTTCTGATAATTTGACATGCACATTAATTTGGGAAATAATGATTATATCATTAAACCGTCTTCATTACTGATTGAAATATAGATTTAAAATGAAAATAAGTTAATGATATACAGTCAAAAAGAGCAATTGACCAATGATGATGGCTGCCATTAATGCCAGTTTTTCTTTATAGATATTTTGAAAGAAAAAAAAATTAAAGTAGCAAATTTTTTAAGTTTTATATTTGGTTCAATATTTTTGAACTTATTTTGTTTTTGTTTCAGATACCAGCCCCAGGATATTTACGTCAGGACAGGTAACATATGCATCCGAAAGTAAGTATATTTTTTTTTTATTTATTAATAGTTGTCTGATAGATATTAAAATAATTTGAATATGTATTACAGATAGACGGCAGCCCAGAGAGAAGAAAAAAGAAGTCCTAGACATGGAGATGATATAATTGTTGATGCCTAGATGATGATGTACGTATTTTGTCGTTACAATTGTACTTAAACTGTTAATAGTTGTAAGGTAATAAAATCAGTTTTCCCTGGAGAAACAGCTTGAAAATTTATTAAAAATTAGTCCAAAATTTCTTTTTCAAATTTATACTCTAATGAAAAAAGTATACTTGTACTCCAATTTAGGATTTGAATTGAAACATGCATCACATTAATTTCTGAATTAATTATAACAGCAAATAGTCTCTTAACATTGACAATTTGGAAACCCTTTCTCTAATAGTCTCTCCTGAACGAAAGTAAAGTTTCCGATTGTCAATTTGGATATCTACATATTAAGTTGATTTTTTTTAAAAGTAATTTGGAAAATATGACTTGATTTAGATTGTTTGAGATTCAGTTGAATTTTAATCATTTTTGTTCAAAATGTATACATCAGATTGTTTTGGTTATACACCAACTTCTGATAATTTGACACGCACATTAATTTGGGAAATAATGATTATATCATTAAACCGTCTTCATTACTGATTGAAATATAGATTTAAAATGAAAATAAGTTAATGATATACAGTCAAAAAGAGCAATTGACCAACGATGATGGCTGCCATTAATGCCAGTTTTTCTTTATAGATATTTTGAAAGAAAAAAAAATTAAAGTAGCAAATTTTTTAAGTTTTATATTTGGTTCAATATTTTTGAACTTATTTTGTTTTTGTTTCAGATACCAGCCCCAGGATATTTACGTCAGGACAGGTAACATATGCATCCGAAAGTAAGTATATTTTTTTTTTATTTATTAATAGTTGTCTGATAGATATTAAAATAGTTTGAATATGTATTACAGATAGACGGCAGCCCAGAGAGAAGAAAAAAGAAGTCCTAGACATGGAGATGATATAATTGTTGATGCCTAGATGATGATGTACGTATTTTGTCGTTACAATTGTACTTAAACTGTTAATAGTTGTAAGGTAATAAAATCAGTTTTCCCTGGAGAAACAGCTTGAAAATTTATTACAAATTAGTCCAAAATTTCTTTTTCAAATTTATACTCTAATGAAAAAAGTATACTTGTACTCCAATTTAGGATTTGAATTGAAACATGCATCACATTAATTTCTGAATTAATTATAACAGCAAATAGTCTCTTAACATTGACAATTTGGAAACCCTTTCTCTAATAGTCTCTCCTGAACGAAAGTAAAGTTTCCGATTGTCAATTTGGATATCTACATATTTAGTCGATTTTTTTTAAAAGTAATTTGGAAAATATGACTTGATTTAGATTGTTTGAGATTCAGTTGAATTTTAATCATTTTTGTTCAAAATGTATACATCAGATTGTTTTGGTTAGCCACCAACTTCTGATAATTTGACAAGCACATTAATTTGGGAAATAATGATTATATCATTAAACCGTCTTCATTACTGATTGAAATATAGATTTAAAATGAAAATAAGTTAATGATATACAGTCAAAAAGAGCAATTGACCAATGATGATGGCTGCCATTAATGCCAGTTTTTCTTTAGATATTTTGAAAGAAAAAAAAATTAAAGTAGCAAATTTTTTAAGTTTTATATTTGGTTCAATATTTTTGAACTTATTTTGTTTTTGTTTCAGATACCAGCCCCAGGATATTTACGTCAGGACAGGTAACATATGCATCCGAAAGTAAGTATATTTTTTTTTTATTTATTAATAGTTGTCTGATAGATATTAAAATAATTTGAATATGTATTACAGATAGACGGCAGCCCAGAGAGAAGAAAAAAGAAGTCCTAGACATGGAGATGATATAATTGTTGATGCCTAGATGATGATGTACGTATTTTGTCGTTACAATTGTACTTAAACTGTTAATAGTTGTAAGGTAATAAAATCAGTTTTCCCTGGAGAAACAGCTTGAAAATTTATTACAAATTAGTCCAAAATTTCTTTTTCAAATTTATACTCTAATGAAAAAAGTATACTTGTACTCCAATTTAGGATTTGAATTGAAACATGCATCACATTAATTTCTGAATTAATTATAACAGCAAATAGTCTCTTAACATTGACAATTTGGAAACCCTTTCTCTAATAGTCTCTCCTGAACGAAAGTAAAGTTTCCGATTGTCAATTTGGATATCTACATATTTAGTCGATTTTTTTTAAAAGTAATTTGGAAAATATGACTTGATTTAGATTGTTTGAGATTCAGTTGAATTTTAATCATTTTTGTTCAAAATGTATACATCAGATTGTTTTGGTTATACACCAACTTCTGATAATTTGACATGCACATTAATTTGGGAAATAATGATTATATCATTAAACCGTCTTCATTACTGATTGAAATATAGATTTAAAATGAAAATAAGTTAATGATATACAGTCAAAAAGAGCAATTGACCAACGATGATGGCTGCCATTAATGCCAGTTTTTCTTTATAGATATTTTGAAAGAAAAAAAAATTAAAGTAGCAAATTTTTTAAGTTTTATATTTGGTTCAATATTTTTGAACTTATTTTGTTTTTGTTTCAGATACCAGCCCCAGGATATTTACGTCAGGACAGGTAACATATGCATCCGAAAGTAAGTATATTTTTTTTTTATTTATTAATAGTTTTCTGATAGATATTAAAATAATTTGAATATGTATTACAGATAGACGGCAGCCCAGAGAGAAGAAAAAAGAAGTCCTAGACATGGAGATGATATAATTTTTGATGCCTAGATGATGATGTACGTATTTTGTCGTTACAATTGTACTTAAACTGTTAATAGTTGTAAGGTAATAAAATCAGTTTTCCCTGGAGAAACAGCTTGAAAATTTATTACAAATTAGTCCAAAATTTCTTTTTCAAATTTATACTCTTATGAAAAAAGTATACTTGTTCTCCAATTTAGGATTTGAAATGAAACATGCATCACATTACTTTCTGAATTAATTATAACAGCAAATAGTCTCTTAACATTGACAATTTGGAAACCCTTTCTCTAATAGTCTCTCCTGAACGAAAGTAAAGTTTCCGATTGTCAATTTGGATATCTACATATTTAGTCGATTTTTTTTAAAAGTAATTTGGAAAATATGACTTGATTTAGATTGTTTGAGATTCAGTTGAATTTTAATCATTTTTGTCAAAATGTATACATCAGATTGTTTTGGTTAGCCACCAACTTCTGATAATTTGACACGCACATTAATTTGGGAAATAATGATTATATTATTAAAAAGTCTTCAATACTGAAGTCAAATAAAGATATACCAGCAGTTATATATATAAAGATATCCTACAATCTATACACATCACAAATTCATACTTTTCTCTTATCAAAGCAAACTACTGTAAATTCAGAATTTATTGTGTGCATTTATTATTGCGATTTTTACATAATGGACTAACAGTAAGATTATCTTATTGAATTTCAGGAAATTCTTCATACAGATATCGGAATTGGAGTTTCTTATCATTGCAATACTCAACCTGTCGCATTATTCAGATTAATAAAACCTCGCAATAGTGTTTCTGAATTAATGGTAAATTATTTGTGCCAGAAATTATCCAACACATCACTCATTTATAATTTTTGTTTTTGTTACAAATGCAGGCCTGAGAAGTTTTAGTGGTACAGCTTGAAGATGGTTCCATTGTACATAGAAGATGAAGATGAGTTAGGATAAACCTTGTTAGGTAATGATAAAATCAGTTTCCCCTGGGAAAATTGCTTGGTTTTTTAATCACAACTGGGTTTAATATTTATAGCTTTCAAATTAATATTCTAATGATACATACTTTAATAAAAATGTATTGTTATAATCTATTTTCATGTTATTGAATTGACTAGAGAGTATAGAACTTTTCGATAGGTAACTTACTCTGTGGTAGGACATTCTAGTACTCTGCAGTCTGCGTCGTTAAGAGGTAGCCTGAAGCCCATGTCTAGTTTAAATAAGCTCGGACTAGTGAATGTACACTGCCGATAGTCCGACCGGTCTAGTGCATATCTGTGTGCTCTTTTTTAATCGTTACTGTAACTGCAGAATGTCACGCCATCAATAACAATAAACTGATACTCTCTTCCTTGCAAAAATACCGTAAACCAGTTTTGACGGTCTTCCTAATAACCGATTGTTCAAAATAAAAATAAAAAGCGCAAAAACGTTTTCAAAATGTCAAATTTTGGTAATCATTGATTGATTTGTGTTGCATTGACTAAATAAAATATATTCATAACAGAAAATTAAAAAAAAATGAACATTTTTGCGTCGGAAGACATTAATTCGTAACTGCCCGCTTGACATCTTGTGTATTTTAGACGATTGGTTATTAGGACGACTTGTACATGTATGTCTTAAATTCAAAGAAAAGAGTCTTGTAAACAGTTTTGAGAAGGTTTTTATTGAAGGAAAGTAGAATTTTTCATATTACATGGAGAACAAACTCTACATTTTTGACAAGTTATATACACTTCCAGATACAATAATGTAACCTCAGAATGCAGGATTTTACATCTAATATTCCAAATTTTCAAGGGGGGCATGCCCCCAAACCCCCCTAGTTGGTTCGGCTCACTTCGTGATCCTCACTGCTGACACTATTTTATTTTGGTCTAGTACATATAACTTCGGGCTAGTATTTTTTTTTTCTACTAGCCCAAAGAGCTAGTGCTTCAAATAGTTTTTGGTAAGACTGACTCTGTGATCTAAGAAAGACTGAAAGAAGTAAAATCATGTAAGCTTATAGTCTGTGTAATTGTCGAAAAAGTTGATTATTTTAATTTTGACCGTTTGTGGCCTAAAAGTTTATTAGCCATTCATAAGGAGCAAACTTCAAAGACCGTGACACACCTTTCAATTCAAAGGAACACAGCATGGCTCCATTTAGCTTTAGATATAGCAGCATGGCAGCCAAACAAGTTGGAACTGAAGATAGTGACCAGACAACAGAATACTTGGGGGAATAAAAATAATTTGGTTTATAAATCCAGACAATAAAATTTCTTAAATGTCCAAAAACTCAGATGAGAATTAACTGAGAGCCCAAAGGATGATGTGAGATGCCCATCTTTCCTTTGATATATCAACACTAATATGAAATGCTTCAAAGACCTGTAGAATTAACAACTAACACTGCATATGTGCAAAAGTAATATTTAAAAAAGTTAAATTGTAAGTATGTACAAACTGTTCAAGATTCAGTTTAACTTTGGTGAACATATTTAAGAGTAGTTGAAGAAATCATGATATATATGTAACACTCCCAAACGTGTCCATCCCCCCAAACATGTCCGATTCCCCCAAACGTGTCCTTAAAATCTTAAATCGCCCAAATTTGACTGATTTCACTCCCCCAAACGTGTCCAATAATTGTTATTCGCCAAAACGTGTCCAGTTTAAAGCGCCAGAACGTCTCAAAACTATTAGCGCTTATATGTCTCCTGTGAAGTTTACGGCAAAACAATGATGGGGGACACGATAGAAGACGTTGGGTTTGGGTTGGATTCTAAAAATAAATCAAAGCAGCTATCTAAGGACATCTGGAGGAAAGATATAGTAATCCACATAGTCAAATATCCAAGATATGGTACAATGTGCACAGGGACTTCTGCTTTCAAATAAACAGACACAGTGTAAGAAAAAGGATGACAAAATAAAAAGCTATTTTTACTAACAGCGGTTTTATTAATTTTTTATCAATAGAATTGTCATTGTTTTAAATTACAGATGGAGGTACTTCATAATTAAGAAATCTAATACAATTTATATTGCATGTTTTCCCAGTGCTGCACTGTTAATACAGTGGTCATTTATTAGCATTAATTTGTTCAACGCCAGTTGTTTATATTGAGCATTATTGCAAGCTTAATTTAACTATTGACCGTTGATTGCTTAATGCCAGTGGCAAATATTTCAAGCATATTTAGAGCAAACAATTACACAGGAAACGCAATTAACTAGTTTTGCACAGTGAAAATCATCGTTTACTTAGTGAATTATTTTGTACTAATATACTCCAGTGATGCCTAAATATCTTTATAATGTATGTTATTATTGCTGTATATAAAATCAGAGAAGGGGAATTATCAATTTTTATTTAACTTGGAAATCAGTCCTTCATTGCAACAGATGCAATAAATGGACTTTTTTCAAAGTTTTCACTAAGATAATTTTAAGGTTAAAATATTAGTTATCAATTACTTTGTCAAACCTTCATAGAATTTTATGAAAATACGACAAAAAAAACATTTATTTTCCACATTCAAAGTACCAAGAAAGTTATTTTATCAGTTTGATATTTAGTTTCCAGTAACATGAATAAAATAATATATCATTTGAAAAGTCAATTCTGAGGTAGATTTCACCTTCAGAGGAGGGTTGTACAACAAACAGCAAGAATGTGTCATTCAATGGGAGATAACTCATAGATTGAGAAAAAAATTAATGTTAAAACAAAATCAGAACATGTTTTTTTTTTCTGGTTTTATAGATATTAAACTGGTTTTGATGCTATGCGAAATCTGAAGTCAGAAAACTATATTTTTGGCTGACAATTTAACACTTTAGTAAAATATATATATATATAATTTGTGTCAATTTTAATTCCTTTTTAGGTTATTACAGTGACTGTTTTCATGGATGGGGAGTAAAACTTTGTGGTCTAATACTCATAAATTAGTAGGTATATAATCTGTTGAAAACAAATTTTATTTTCATCTTAAAATAAAAATTGAGAGGAATATAATGTGCATTAGGCTTGATAGTTTTAAGAGATGGGTCAGAAGTTCTTTTTGTCTACTTTGCACCACAGGGGATATATATGGTTATATTCTTTGTCCAAGTGTCGTAAATGCATTAATACTAAAGGATGGTCTCTCTTTTTTTTTTTTTTTTTAACTTTTTGTCAGATATTCAGAATCCTCTTGTTTTATCCATGAAGTGCCATTACAATTTTGCCCACTTACCCCTACTTATCTTTTCATAATTTTATTACATATGGTTTAAAAACCCATGTTTAAAAATCCTTGTTATTTTTTCATAGATCTAATTTGCAATAAGATAAATAAATGGAGAATGTGTCCATATAACATGTAAAAGTGACACCATTTAAATTCAAAGCTGAACAGTGTTTTGTGGTAATTAGCATTGTGTATAAGTTTCAAAACATTTGGTCGAGGCGAACTAAAGTTAAGTAACCACTTTTGGGATGCACATACAGACAGACAAGGGTAACACTTCGGTGCTGGCATAAAAAATGACCTATATGTTAACAACAAACAGAAACAAAAAATTCTTTTTAAATCACATTCTATTGCCTTCATTTTGATACTAATTTTTAAAACCTACCTCAATTAAAATATGACCAATTGCCATGATTGCCGTTTGAATTCAGGCAAAATAAAAATATATATGTGGTTCCAGTTACCAGATCCACCCATGAACTTTTTTTATTCTGTAAAATAAATTTTGAATGATCCCATTTTATGGAATGCGTATTTCAATAATTAAATTCACAGACTTCTGTCATATGAATTTCCAATAAAAGTATCCACTACGGCTAAAAATGCAACAAATTCTTAACGGAATGCAACAAAATTAACGAAAAACATAACATGTCTGTTATTTTACAACCAAACATATAGAAAATGGCAAACTTGCGGTAGGGGCATGTATAATACCAGAATCGGGACTCCGTGAACACACCGACCCTATCTTTTTTTGAGAATGTAACTGGAACCACACATATATTTTAATTTGGACTTAGGTTTTTTTTATTCATATGCAGATGAAGATTTTGGATCCTTTTGGCTTGAAAGATTGTCAGGAACATGAAGAAACTGAATCTGTAATAAACATGGGTACACAAACAGGTAGATATATATCTGTATACAGTTTTCAAACAAAGCATGCTTCAGCAGTGTGCAAAATTACTGTTCCATTAATGTGTTATGTATTATAAGGAAAGATGGGGGTACTTTAACCACAATTTAAAAGCACTAATTTCTACTAATTCTAAATGTTTATGTATGATTTTTCAAGAGATTGCAAGAAAATACATGCAAGCCCAATTACATCCTAGTCGGTGCCCATGTGTGCCCTAAAAGTACATGTACACAAATATATGCACAGCTGCATGTGAATTGGGTTTGGAATGAAGCATTGCTCCAAAACATTTTTTTTGTCAAATTGGTATTGAGTCTCAAGGGCCTGTATGCATAAACCACTTAAGTTAAGAAATCCAATCGTAGTACTAATTAGACAAATTTGGCTATTTGTTTTATGTATTTTTGTCATATAGCTCTTCAACTGTTTCCGTACTTATACTTCCCTCGGATTTCAAATGTTTGGCTTTGAGCGTTCCTGATGAAGGTAAATCCAGAAAAGCGCTTTGGACGCATGAAATTATCAAACGTGTTGTTTTCAATTTTTTAATGAAGGACATGTAGAAAAATCTCTGTTCGTAACAAATCTCAACTTAAGTAGCTTTATAAATTATGCATACAGGCCCAGGCTACTATCTGAGAATGCACTAGCTAAACTAGCCTTTTGGTCATAATATCCCAATAAAAATGATTCCCTATGCAGATAATCAACATTAAGGTAGATAGGGTGTCTTCCTCCATCTTGGATTTTAAAATACTGTGGATTTATTTATTTTCGTGGGTACCAATTTTCGTGGATTGAACAAAACTTACACTTTCGTGGACATTTAATTTCGTGGTTCTGCCAAAGTCTATATACAAGCCTATGGAAAATTTGTAATTCGTTGAACATTTAAATTCGTAGTTCACCTGTACCCACGAAATCCATGAAAATTGGTATCCAACGAAAAATAATGAATCCACAGTACAAGAAATCAATCGGTCTAGATCTTTAATAAAAGGTGTAAATTTTGAGAGTAGTAGGTAATTCATGTGTAAGAATTTTCATTTCAATAGAGAAAATGACATATTTTATCTTATCTATGGTTGTATTTTACAGAAAAACAGAATACTTTTGTTTGATTCTATTTTTTCCAACTTTGCCACATAAGTGGAGGCAACTCAAATGTAAGGGCAGATAATTCAGATAAAATTACTTTTACAATAGAATGTGTTAGGAATTTACCTATTTTATTATGTAGCAAGAAAACGGGTCCTGTGACCCCATTTTTTCTTTTTCTTATCTGAAAGCATACTATTAGAGCTATCTTCTCATATTTTATCTCAAAATTCTATGGTGTAGTTTTTGTTTTATGGCAGAAAATTGGGTTTTCCATGCATAATCTATACAAAATCTGTCAATTTTGCACAACCTGTAGCGTGAAAATAAGCCCCGTGACCCATTTTTTTTATTATTTTTTTTTAAAAAGCATGATATAAACTACATTTTGACAAATTATTAAAAAATTCTATGGATTATAATTTAGACACCCCATCTACCTTAAACAATAAAATATATAAAAAAAAACCTCTGTTTGATCTACAAATCATTAGTCTTCTTTAATGTTATAAATCAATAAATCATTTTTTCCAGACAAAATAACAACAACACTGGTTGATACAATTCTAGGAACCGGTGAAGAAGTTAAAAGTTTTACAATATACTGAAGACTTGCAACGGAAAATCCAGGAAACAGGTTTTTTACTGAACAGTATGAGAGAGCCAAGATGATTGTTGGTTTTAAAATGCTTGGAAAATACAACCAAATGAAGACAAAAAAATGAACTGCATCAACAAACAAAACAACTACTGGAACATTGGGGCATCAGTACTGAGTTCTGATTCTAAAAACAATTGTTCAAAATCTTCTACAAGTTTAAGAAGACTGTACATACATGTATATATATATATATATTTATATAAGAAAGAAAAAAAATAATGCATGTGCTTGAAACTTGTGTACATACATCATGTAATGAATAGAAAAATGAAAGAAAACAAAATGAAAACAAAATGAAAAGAAAAAAGAAAGAAAATTAAAAAAAAGAAAAGAAAAGAGAGAAAGAAAAGAAAAGAAAAGAAAAGAAAAGAAAAGAAAGAAAATTAAAAAAAAGAAAAGAATATTAAAAAAAAATGAAAGAAAAAGAAAAAAAAAATTGAGGAGGGAGGTGGGTAATGCAGCCAAGTAATACTGTATTCGCAAATTTTCATGCACCATAACACCCACAATCGTGATAGCACTCTTAGATTTACCTACAAATTTTGTGATTAAATAATATAACCTCATTATGCAGGAAATCTATTTTAAAAATTATCTTTACAATCATTATCTAGATCAGACCCAATATTTACGTCTTTTATCATTTTCATTGATATACATTGTAAGATACCCCATTTTTAATTTCTAAATAAAACCAAGGTGCTTATTATTATGAATACAGTACAACTTGCCAGTCACAAGCCTGGAATAAAGAGCCACATTAAAATATCAAGAATTAAGTTAGTTTAAACAGGACTGTTAACAACTTTTTTTGCCATTATATGCTTGTCACTCATATTTTTTTCGTTTCCTTTAAATTAGGTCGATATATTCAATAGCATGTTTAGTTACATGTACCTACCCTTTTTCATAGTCCCAATATACATTGCCTTCACTGTGTTTCTCATATACAAATGTACTCAAGGTAAACAAAAAATTCTGGAACAAATTGTACATTCTAGTTGTACAGTATGTGTCATACTAGTAAAAAAGGGGGGTTACAAATTTTAAACTTTTAACATATATTTAAATCATGGATTTATTGTGGCTTTTAATGCAGAGTGAACCACCAGATAGTTTTAATTTTAGATTTATTGTGGCTTTAAATGCTGAGTGAACCATCATATAGTTTTAATGATATTGTAGAACCAACTTGTAAAATTCAGAATTACACCGATTAATACATACGTAAAATTATGTATTGTACTAGGAATACACAAATCATATGATAACTCAATATAATTTATATGTAGTTTTTATTCTAGTCAAGACCATGCTCATTACAATAAAAATTGCTTACAAATATCTAAAATATACAAATAAATAACCTGAAACGGGACAGACAAACGAATGAACAAACGAACGGACGCATAGACCGAAAAACGTATTGCCCCTCTACTATCGTAGGTGGGGCATAAAAATAAGTTTGTGCTGTGTTTTTCATCAAGTAGTCCGGTTTTTTGTAAGACACTTTATATTTACATAGGACATATATCCTAAATTTTATCCTGTGACAAAATTCCCGAAACTTGAAACCTGATAAAATATATTGCTTAGTTTGTATCTGAATTTATTTTTGTTTATGTGCGAGAGGTTTCCTACCTCAGTTTTCTAATTTTTTACCTCACATGTCCCAAAGGTTCAAGTGAGCTTTTCTCCTCACTTGGCATTTGTCACCGTCCATTATCTTTTACACAAATACATGTATTCACCTCTGAAACTTCTAGGCCAAATTTGATTAATCATTATGGTGTCTAGTTTACAAAATGTGTCCGATGACCCCAACTGCCAACCAACAAGGGCAACATGGTTTAATATAGAACATAAGGATAAAGGAGAATTTGTCTATTATCTTGAAAACCACTATAGATAGAGAAAATGAAACCATTTTTTTTCCGTTATGCCTATTAGCCTGAAAACTATAATAGATAGAAAATTTATACTGTGGATTCATAATTATTCGTTGGATACCAATTTTCGTGGGTTTCGTGGGTACAGATGAACCACGAATTTAAATGTTCAACGAATAACAAATTTTCTATAGGCTTTGCATGCAGTGATTGGCAAAACCACGAAATCAAATATCCACGAAAACGCAAGTTTTCCTCAATCCACGAAAATTGATACCCAGGAAAATAAATGAATCCACAGTATACCAAAAATGATTAGCAAGACCAGATCCTTAAATAAGTTTACATGGTTTTATCTGTTTCTCAGGTACTATAAGCAAGAGGGTCACTATATTTGGTGTAAAGTGTACATGTCTGTCTGGCAGATTTCATCTGACCTTGACCTCGTCATGAATCTATGAAAAGACCACATCAAAAGATCAATGTAAAAATAAAAACTTAATTTCCCCCTTCGTATTCTGAACTTAGAAAATATTTGATGATTATAAGCATTGTGTATAAGTTTCATAACATTTGGTTGAGAAAACTAAAGTTTAATATTAGAGAACGGAAACGAAAAATTCAGTAATTTTTATGTTTATAAAGGGACATAACTCAAGAATGGTAAAAATGATGCCACCATCCAGTATGCATTGTCTTGGTGGACCAAATTCTTGATGATTTTTATCTTTGGTTATTTTCAGGTCCAGGTCAGTACTGTGACATTGGCTAAATGAAATTTACTAGCACACTTCATGAATTTGATATGGGTTATCAAATATATACCTGCATGTTGTTATGAATGATCACATGAAATTGTAACAAATTGCCAATGGAAGCAGTCACATGTCAAACTGTACATTATAATAGAATCGTCAAACAAAAATAAAAAAGTCTTGAGCAGACCAATGATACATGTGTCCAAAGCCCCCCCCCCTTTTTGGAATTTTTGACTGTTTTTCCAACCCATAAAAAAAAAATTAAAGGCAAAAAGTAGACAAATTAAAAAAACTCATATTTCATAAGATACAAATTAATTTTGACAAAAAGCCGGTTTTCAGGCAAAAATTGTGGTTATTTTTTTTCTTCAAAGAAAAAAAATTAAAAATAGCAGAAATTGAAAATGCTGGTTTAAAGACAGGAAGACTGTGGGATCTAAACTCCAAACATTTGTTACAAATGAATTGCATAAGAATTATAAGAATTGAAGTTATCTATAAAAACTCCATAAAAATACAATAATGAGAGAAGGTTCTCAGGTACTTAGGAAGGGAAAGCCTGTCAGGCTCCACTAGTACTAACCTTTGTAGTGTACTAAAAAAAAGTAGTGTTAGTAAAATTTCTAGTCTGTTTAAGACAACAATATGTCTCGTGACATTTTTGAGAAGAAGAAAAACTTTGAGCTAGAACACTATTATTTTAGCATTTGTCAATATTTGCCTAGGTTATGACAATATGTTGTGTTTTTTTTTTGAAGGTACAAATGCCATTTATTAAGAAGAAATCTTTCGAGCCATGCTGTTAATTACACTTATATTACAAAGACAAATTAGATGGAGGATATAACGAAACAGCAGAAACAGAATATTTTCCAAGAGCAAATGTAATAACTGAGGAGTATTTCAGATGATGAATCATTCTTTGCTTGTCCTGAGTGAAATTGCATAAAGGTTTACACAAAAACCTCACGTCTTAGAAAAATATCATATATGCATAGGCAAGGGTGTATTTGCCAACAAAGAAAATAGTAACTACATAGTGAAACTTCTCTAGGCTGAGACATGTGTCATGAGCACAAAGGTTTCTCTACAATCAGTTTTGTCAACAAATTTGAATATTGCAGAATGATGGTCTTTTACAGTTTCTATTAGCGATTGAAACGTTTCAATAGTAGGGCTATGGAATTTTTACATGATATATACATAGAATGCAGTGCTACAGAAAAAAAAGACCACTTTTTAATCAAACCTTTAATAATTTAAACTATTGAGGAACTAGAGGTCCAGCAAAGTCGTCATTAATTAAAATTGAGAATTCGAATATAGTTGATGACAAAGATTTGCAAAGCAAAATGTCAAGTGATGACATACTGGTACATGCTGATTCTACAGACTTGACAACATATATTACATACAGATAGCATAGACATTTCAACTTAATATTGATTCTTGTTGCAAAAACAGTACAGTGTAACAACAAAAAAATGCCACCGTCATTGTATTAGTCAATTTAGTGTTTTACTTTCCTGTATTAATTCCCTTGATACATATATTTTGAATAAATATAAAATGAAAATGATTGAAACATGTTATTTTATGTACATAAGAATCTGACAGTTAAAGTCTAAATGAAGTTAAAAATTGCTAAGGGTTCATTTTGAACTTGCTGTGAGCTTTTTGTACATGTTGAAAGCATCACTGTGACTTTTAGAGGAAGAACAGTAACAAAACAAGGAATTATTTGAATCTGGAATAATTTTGAATTCTGGAAAATTGATCAGAAATTTATGATGAAAACTAACCCAACTAAATAGGGTTAGCCATGCACGCATGGCTAAGGGATGTTAGTTAGTTCATACTGAAATGATAGTGAAAGTAAAATTAACCTTAGCCATGCGTGCATGGCTAACCCCATTTAGTTGGGTTAGTTTTCATCATACATTTCTAATCAGTTTTCCAGAATTCAAAATTATTCCAGATTCAATTAATTCCTTGTTACAATAGCTCTGTTAATTTGCTGGGATTTTATCAAGTAAATATCATAAATATATACAACATATCCCTCCTTTTTAATTTAGATATATATATTAATTGGTGATTTGATAAATTTTCTATACATGTCTTATTCCATTGGAAAGATTCATACGCATATCCACAGTAGTGACCCAACCATATCCCCTAAGCGTTCTTCTTTTAATAAATTATTTAACAGGCCAGTAGGGCTAGCTTGACCTGTAATTATTGGCTGTGCTGAATCCATTTGATCCTTTTGTAAAGAGACTTATTATACCCATGCTATTGATAGCTGGGGGATATATAATATTCATAATGTCGGTCTGTCTGTCCGTCCGTCTGTTTGTAATATATCTACAATCTTAAGTCCTATCAAAGAACAGGTGCTAGGATGAAAAATTTTGTCCTGCTTTTTTTTTAGTTGTAATCTCTGTCCTACCTTTTTAATTTTCACTCTATTTGGTCCTGACTTTTTTTTACCTAAATTGTCATCCTGACTTTTTTTTTAGCAAGTGTCTCATCCTGCCTTTTTTTTTACTCAAAACTCCTGTCCTGCCTATTTTTTTCAAATTTGATCCTAGCCCCCCATAAAAACATAAAAATCAAATGGTAGCTCCCTAAGAGAAGTATCATTAATATAGATAACACCTGCTAAACCACAATTCCTTCCA